AATATCAGGACACGTCATGCCACAATTTTGTGCACTGGTACTAATACTAACAACTAACAATATAAAAAAAATATCATCATAAACTCAGTATCTCTTAAATATGTGACCAATTATCACCACAACTAAAAACGATAATCTACTACTTATATCAAATATTAAGTCATTATTCACTCATCATACATACAGTACATATGTCTTCTAAATGAGAAACGAAAACTTCATCTTTTAAATCAAAAAAATACATATTAAACAAAACATAACATCCAAATCTCTATTAAACAAAATTTAAGCTTTTATCATTACAATTATAGTACATAATAAATTGTTAAAATCTATTTAACAAACACAAATAAATTATACTAATTACTATGACACAAGTCTTGCACACATTCAAACATACAAACTAAAAACTTCTACAAATGCATCGATATAATAAATACACGATCGTACTGGTCCTGCGTAGCGTCACACGCTGCGCTTATCTCTATTCAATGATTGTTTTTTTCGAAAAGCATTGCACGCATGAGATATATTATAATTTAGAATACATCTGGCTAGTCACGCCAGATATCAAATTTTATTGATTGATCTTTATTGAGAATGTGCAGCATACATCAGTGCAATTGATGTACAAACCGAGACGTGCGATGCTCCGAATCGCGATGCGTAGCATCAGCCGGTGGTTTCCCACACTGCATAAAGCAGGCTGGCCTCTATTATTATTATTTGGATGCATCTAGCTAGCAGCGCCAGATATTAAACCTTAATTGAATGCTCTTTATTGAGAGTGAGCAGCATACTTCAGTGCGATGCGTGGCATCAGCTGGTGGTTTTCCACACTGCATAAAGCAGGCCAGCTTTGATAAAAGGTTTAAGCTACCATGAAATGGCAGATTCTACGTGGATTCAATGTAGATTCACATGGGTGGGAGGGTTTGGTGCGAATTTGCTTCTAGCGAAGATGGCTGTGGGTCTACACGTAATGTGTGTATTCTTATATTTGACCCAGACAATGAAGATATTGTTAGGCAACTAATTCAGATCTACTTATCTGACCCATTCCTGATTTGGATTAAAGGCTAATTCTGGTTTAACCGGATTGCCCGGCTTAACCATCTTTTCGAACTGTTGACTTATTGCGTAAGTCAACTTGAACGAAATACTAATTAATCACGCATAATAATAAATAGACGATAAATTTAGTTAAACGCCTTTTCAGTTCAAAATTTTTAAAATATATATTAACGTTCATTTTTCTAGAAACTTAAAACAATCTGGCACTTTATCACAGATTTTTCTAATTCTTCGGGAAGAATTAGAAAGGATTCTTTCTTTTCTTCGGTTCCTTCCTTCCTTAATATTTTACACTCGTTCACTATCAGCTTTAATACATAATGCAGTCTAATTACTACAACGAAAATGGATACTATTGTCATCCAAATTATCAACAACATCCAAATTATCCCTACAATCAACATCAATTCGACGATTATAAGACTCATTCACAACAGAATGGCGGTTTTAACGTTCCTCTACAACAATACGTAGATCATAATGCTCATTCACAACCACAAGGTGGGGTTCCTCCACAACAATATAATGCTCATTCACAACCACAAGGTGTTTTTCCTAAAGCCCCGCAACCTGTACATTTAAATGTCAATATTAATCAACCGCCGATGGAATCATCATCACCCACATTCAGTGAGAAGGAAAGAAAGGAACGTGAAAAGGCTATAAGAAAAAAAATATCCATATAGAATACCTTCTTCTTTTGCCAGAAAAAAATGTATCGTGATAACTGTGTTTAAAATTTTAACTCTGGTGACAACCTTATCAGTTCTTGAAATGTATGTTAATGCTGTAGGTATCATGATCTTATTATTTATTTTGTTACCCATTATAAATAAATTTTCTAATACTCATATTACTATTTCTATTTTTTTTAGACATTCACTACTAGTGTTATTAGGCAAAACCTAGAGGTTTTGCCATTGGCAAAAGTCAAAACTAGTTTCGACTTTTGCCAAAAAAAAAATTAAAAT